GCGGATGGATTGTAATTCCTTCGTTGATTTCTTATATTGGGGGTGCACATCAATACCGAGGTAGGAGATATCTTTATTGAATATAATTTAAATTATATCTGTTCGAGGCTCCGAAACTCTAGAAGAAAAGTCGACTATGATTGTAGTATGTAAATACCGATAGAATGGATTGTGCAATGTTTGTTTGCACATAAACATCCTGAAGAAAATTCTTCTTAAGCAGCTTCCAATGGTACTAAATTCTTCGAAGAGCTTTTAATAAATATTTCAGTAAAATTCCTAAGATGAGAATTTTACAGAGGATGTGTATCTCCAAGGTACTTCCTCTTTCCAAATTACACCTCAAATCCTCACCGCTTCAAGAAAATCTTCCATTTATTAAAGAAAAGATAGCCCCCTCTCCAAGGGCTCATTAAATGCATTGAATAACTCGTCTGTATAATCGGTTGAGTGGGTTGAATGGTTGGATTCCTAGCAGTATTTGCTCTTAAAGTCGAAATCATCATCGCAGCTGCCGCCGGATCCCGTGGCCAGCAGCTCATCCTTGCAGCCATGATGCCTCCGATGCACATCCGTGTCGAAGCACTCATCGTGAAGACGTTTGTCGCGGCTCTTGCTGCGCTGTCTTCGATGTCCATGAGATCCATGGGATCCATGATGATTGTGGACATGACTACTCGAACTATGATGATGCTCCCCGCTAGCATGGGGATGTGGATGGAGTGTGGTCTTGTGGTGGTAGGGCGGCGGAGAGCTGAGGTCCCGAGGCGGTCGACAGTGGTTGGAGGGCGGCACAGGATCATCGTAGCGCGGACAAGGATGTTCGCCCACAGGGGAAGCAGTCTCATAGCGCTTCGAGAGCAGCGTGAACTCCTGGTGGGCGGAGCACAGGGCCTGCAGACGATGCAGCAGATCTGTCTCGGGCAGATCCCTGAGGTGGAGAGTGCGTGCCACGGATGTGCGGAAGGATTGCAGATGCGAGAGCCGCTGATTGGCATCGGAGAGCTGGGAACTCAAGCGATTGACATCGTCACGCATGGACTGGAAAGGGAAGAGTAAAAGGATATAGGGCTCTTCGAATAGAGTTAATCTCTTTCCACTCACATTGATCAGAGCCTCATCGCGACATCTGCGATTCTGGTTGGACTCGCAGGCGGCCTTCATCCGCTCCTTCATGGCATTCAGCTGGGAGAGCAGCCTCGTCTTCTCGTCCTCCAAATCGCAGAGCTGTGTCGACAGCTCATCGATCTTTCGCGCCCGCTCCAGCGATGTGATCTTGTACTCCACTGCCTCCGCCAGCTGGGCCTTGACCTCGGCTATCTGGGATCGGGCATCACCCAATTGGGCACTCAATTTGTCCACTTGCTTGGCCGCCTTCTTGGCCCGGCACACGGCATCATCGCGCTCGCCCTGCAGCATGCACTTGCCCCTGGCCCCATCCTCGATGATGGCCAGCTTGCGGCGCAGCAGCTCCAGATGGAGATCCCGGCGCTGCACCTGCTCCCGAAGGACGCGCACACGACGCTGCAGATTGTAGACACTGCTGCTCTCCTTGAGAGGAATATCATGGCAGGATCGCTCCCGCCTCAGCTTTCCATGGCCATGTCCATGATGTGGGTCTCCGCCGCAGCAGCCCTTGTCGGGCGAATGTCCATGATGATGTCCATGATGGTGGGATACCTCGTGCTCACAATGCGCTGTCAGGCGCTCCGCTCTCTCCAGGAGGTTGTCGGCCATCAGATTGGTGTCTGCCCCCAAGGCAGGAGGTGCCGAGCACTCGCTCCAGTTCATGGCGCTGGCCAGGCGCTGCAGGAACTCCGACAGGCCCATGTGGTCCTTCCGGAGTGTATGAATCTCTGCATGACACTTTTCGAGCCGCTCGGACAGCTCACATTTCTGGGCCTCGCCCGAACGGAGGCGACACTCTGTGGACTGCTGGGTCTCCTTGAGCTTCTCGTGTTCGCTGGTCAGCTGATCCCTAAGCGAATGCATTTGCTGTTGGAGAAAGATTGGTCAGGATTGGTCAGGGATTTGTCAGGGATTAGAGTATCCAAACGCACCGCATGCATGGCCTGGTTCTCGCTTAGAGTCTCCCTCAGCTTCTCCTTGATCAAAGTCTCGCAGGGTTCGGGGACATTCAGCAGATTGCTCAAGCCCCGCAAGAACTGCAGGCGATCTCCCTGAATCCTGTCCAGATTGTTCTGCAAACGATGGCAGCGCGACTCGAAGCCACGCAGCTCCTCCTTGAGCTTCTCCCCATTGATCTCCGACTCCGTTAAGCGATCCCTCTGGATCTGCAGATCCCTTTCGTACTGCCGGCAGCGGCCCTCCAGCTCGTGATTGTGATTCCCAGCCCCATCCAGCTGGGCGGACAGTCGCTGCTTCTCGATGTTGGCCAGGGATTTGAGATTCAGCAGCTCATTCTCGCAGGAGCTGAGCGTGTCACAGGTGGAGCTGATCTTCGCCTTGGCCCGCTGCAGCTCGACCATCACCTCCTCGGCCCGGGAGACGACACACTCGGGTGTGGCATGGGCATTCTGATTGCTCTCGCACACATCCATCCCCAGGCTGATGCTCAGGCGACGCAGCAGATCGTGGAGCTGGGCCTTGGCCTGCTCCTTCTGCGACTCCTCGTTGGCCACATGCGTCTCCAGGTGCTGGATCTTGCAGATCAGCTCCTTGTTGCGCTCATCCGAGCTGCGTTTCTCCCTTTGCACTGTGTTTATGGTGGAATCACAACGCGCCTGGACCGCCTGCTCTCTGGATTCGGCATTCTGCAGACGACTCTGGAGGGATCCAATGAGGGCTGTCTGTCGAGCAGCCTGTGAACGAAGGTTCTCGATATCCACCTCCTTGGAGCACAAGGCACTGCGGGTTTCAGCAAGCTGTATTGAGAATATACTTTAATTTGTCAGTTCTTCCGATCCTTTGTGTTCTTTACCTCTCCTGCAAGCCGCTCTTTCTTGTAAGAAAGGGCTGCCAGCTCGCTCCGCAGGGTGGTGGTCATATCCAAGCCATGATGATGCTCTGTGACTGTAATTCCCGCACTGCCGCATGATGTATCCAACTGGGGAAAGATATCAATCGATAAGGTTCCCTTTCATGCTATCCTTCCAACCATGAAACCCTACCAAATGATGATGATGCGGCGACAGGCCCCCACTCAATCCCAAATGGTGGTGATGCAAGTGATTGTCACTGGGCATTCTTCAATATATCTGTTCTGCTATATATTCCTCTTTCAATCCAGTGCGAACCATACGTTCCCAGAGTCGCGGACCAACTAAACTTTGTCCTGGGCAAGCCTTTGTGTTTTAGTGGGAGCCTAACAACCTTCTGCCTAACAACTGATGGGCAGGCAGCAGGCATGTCCCTGGCATGGCACCGAGGAATTTACCTCAACATAACATCACACAATACTTAAATTTATGCTCCATAGTCGCGGATGGAAGTGGATGTGGCATGGGCATGGGCATGGGCATGGGCATAGGCACGGGTCGTAAGTGAAAACGAGCTCAATGGCAGTGGCAGCAGCGGGGCTCCACTCCTGGTAGCCACGTTTACACATTGGAGAAAAACTTTGCAGTTTGTTTGCTGTTATTTGGGTCATTCACATGGTATTCATGGCGCCAAGTGGCGGAGTCAAATGCAATGCACAGAACGGACTCACGCACACGCCATGGAGCCGCGGATGGCTTTGGGGTTTGAGGCTAAAACGCTGCACAGTGTTGAAATTTTCGCTTTTGGCCGGAAACGGAAAATGAGGTGTGCAACTTTTGGCCAATTGTCTGCACTTTCAGAGGGCGGGGTGGAGACAAATGGGAACTGAAAATGTGTTTAATGTCCGATAAGATTGGCTATTGTGGAGGCAAGGGAATTACAGAGGAAACTTTCATATAAAGTTTCTTGATTGTGAGGGGATATCTGTGGTAGAGGGTTGTTTATTCTTCAGAGAATTCAAAGTGTTTAATATATTCCAGAAATTTGTATAATGGCCAGTACAACGAAGAATATAAGGAGGATCGTCTATTATACGTTTGGATATCGAATATCCATAAAACATGCTTCAAAGAGGTTTTTTTTATAGATTCTCAGGAGAAATTCTCGTGATATCTTTCTCATTATATATTATATACCCCAATGAATCCTTAACCACTGTAACCCGTCAGATCAACCCGGTTTTATGCAAATCCCACCCCCCCAAATGTTATCATTAGTTACCCCGAAAGAACACAACGATTTCGCCTAACAACCGCATAAATTTCACACAGAAAACAACAGTCGCGGGTAAAATTGTCATTCAATTGCGAATTCGCATTAAAGTAAAGCACATAAATCTCTGCAGTTATACGGCAATTTGGCACACGATTTTCCAGGGACTAATTTTAGACAAACCATAGCCCATAGCGACAGGCTGGAACAAAAAAAAAAGCTCACCTGGTAAGAAGGTAATGTTCTGTGTGCAGGTGGCGACATCGTAGACATCTGTCCCGGGACAGATACGTTTCCGTTTCCGCATAGGAGCTCAAACACTTGCCAATCCTCGGTGGTATTGCCATTAGTAGTGGGGCGCGGATTTGTTGGCATTATGTAGGGAAAACTTAATCCGACTGCTGGCTGCGTTGTGTTGGGCGGTGAAAAATTTCTATTCTCTATTTTCTAAGCGTAAACAGTATGCTCAACCTGGCAACAACTACTCGTACAACAGCAAAGTTATGCGGCAACTTTCACGGTTTCACGGTTGCCAGGTGCATAAAATAACTATACATCGAGACCCCAATGTGGGGGTTAGAGCGGGGGTTACTAGGGTGACTAAATTGCACATAATTCGATTCTGTAGAACTGCAATTTCAATGCCGAAACACGCAAATCGTTTTGCCTGTAATTTCATTTGTCTCCTCGGCGGAATATGCAATAATGAATATGGTAAATGTTTGAAGTAAGTTTGGTATGGTACCCCCCACAAGAACCCCTTCTTTGAGGTCGACTTTTGTTGAGGGTTAAGTTCATGAATTTTCTGTTATTATTTGTTGATTATTTTGTTTGGGTTGCCAACATAAATAAATTGATTGATTGAATGACGAAACTGTTTTCACTCGAGAGAACTTTAGAATTTCTTTTTCTTGTCCTTGCCGCGACGTTTGTTTTGCTTATTCAACAATTTCAGAGACAAGGCGGTTGCCCGTATTTCCTACATGAAGACAGAAATTACCATAGTTATGGATCGACTAAAGTTAGTTGTAGACAACATACCGCCTCCTCTATGCGATCCCTTTCCTCCTGCTCGATTTGAGCCCTGACCTCGATTATTCGTCGCTTGAACATTTCCTGCTGATCCCTGTAGAAAACGAGATCATCCTTGACCTTTTGCAACATGTTGCTGGTTTGATTGCACATCAGTTCGGCCTTCTCCATATCAGTCTCCAGCTTCTCCTCCCAGTCCTTGATCTTATTCTTAAAGGAATCAATCAGGTATGCGTACACGAACTCTGAATTATTGTGCACCATTGTGTCCTGTTTCATATGGGTTCTGATGTCGGTCAATTCGGTCTGCAGGAGCTCCTCTCTGGCCTGCAGTCGCATCAGTACCTGATCACTGCAGCTGTGCATCCAATTGATGCGATACCGCAGATCAATGGGTCCAACAGCTAAGCAGATACAAGTTGAATGAGAACACTGCTGATACGATGATCTACTGCGACTTACCCTGTTGGTGCTCGAAGTCAATCTTCATGCCCGACTGTCGGTTATCGGTGCTCCTTCTGTAGTTTTTCGAGCCTCGATTGGTAAAGGAGTTGTACTTCAGCTCCTCCTGCAATTGGCGGGCCATGTTGAAATTATGAACCCATTTTGGGTTCGTAGTGTATTTGGCAGCACTAAGCGAAGGAAAATACCACAAATGACTACAAAACATGGCTAATTGAATGGTGCGCTTACTGTATCAATTTCATGGAATATTCGCATATGTCTCGTCCCTCGATGAAGTCGTCTCGGACCTCTTGCAACAGCGATATTATCTCGTGCAGATCCGTGCGAAACTTGACGCAATCCAAGTCGCTTTTGGTTCGCTCCCGCTGGATGACATCCAGATACAATTGATTGATGTGCAAACGCTGCATGAAGTGGTCCACCGACCAATGAAACAGCTTATTTGGCATGTTGTTTATCTCCCCGGGCCAGGGATTACTGAAGAGTCCCAGCTGCTTGCGCAGGCGTGGCAACATAAAGTCGACGGAGGCCTTCTGACACTCCAGCGTTATCTCGTAAAGCCTCGTGGTACGCCGCTGAATGATGCTCACGACTGTTGTGCCCCTTGATGACATTCTGGAGCGTCGAATCATCTCTTTGATGGCCAATGCCTCGAGTGTCTTCTCGGGTCCATCAAGCCCGATGAATGTCAACTCTCGCGATCTTTGCGATCGCGTTTTCTTCTCCACCTTCGTCTTGTACTGCTCCAGTACGTTCTTGAGAAACTCATCGCGGCATAGCTCTGGATCCGTTTGTTCTGGCAATGGAAATTTTATATTGTACACGGATTCCATTTCAACTCCACCGTCCAAAGGATACTCCACTCCGCCTGCACATCTCTCAGCTGCCTGCTCCTCGTCCTCCAAATCTAAAGTCCTCTCGTCCTGCATTTGTGTATCCTGTTCTCCTATAGTGTTCACTTTCATGTTTGTAATGTGATCTGTCGCTTGTTAGTATGATTTTCAGAAAATGTTGCTTAGTTTTTGGAATTTATTCTCTCCCATACTTTAAGGGGTATCAAAGAAAAACTCATGATTCATACATGTGAAGCTTTGCCATCTTCTTTCGGGTTCTGCCATTCCCGATGAACCCCATTCCCTTTACTCCCCATGTCTGGGTTGGCTATAAATAAAGAAATTCTTGTTGCCGCTGGTTCTTCTGTTTCAGCAGAAAGGGCCCCAACATAATCTGGCTCGTTATACTCTTCTTTTTAGAAGAGTCTTTTACATACATCCATGCACCCGCCATAGAGCGAAACCTGGTAGAATGTTTTGTTCATATACAGCTCTGATGACACACAGCTAATTACATACACATGGGATTTCTGCTAGTACCCTTTGTACATAGGTATGTATATCCACAATGCAACAACTTCCTTAAGAGTATACCCGACTTCGGTGCTCCTCATCTTCGTGTTGCCTGATTCTCTTTTGTTCTTTTTTTCATTCTGCTGTTTCTGCTGTGTGTTCCCTTTACGGATTGGATTGGGCCAAGTGCAGTTGGGAATGGGAATGGGAATGGGCACAAGGAATGGGGAACGACAGACAATGGCTAAACGGAGGAGAACGGAGGGCTACCTGCTGCAGCTTGCTGCGTTCCTGCTGCAATTTCTAATCGAAACGAAACCTTCTACCCTAATGATGGCCGCAGGCGGGCCCTGGCTGCTACTTTTTGGCTGTGCTTTGTCAGGGCGGGCCCTTTGTTAGCTGAAAAAAACTCTGAAATGGCAAACTCCTCGTGGCTCTTGGCTCTTGGCTCTCTCCACTCCATTCTGAGACTCGGCGGATAATCAATTTCGAGTAGTGTGTGTGCTGCCACCCGAGACATCTCATGCAACATGCTGCACCAGGATCGTACTGCTCTTTGGCCTGTTCGCCTATTCAAAATTGTTCCGTTAAAATCTGTGCGCGCTGGCTGCGGTTGCCGCAAAATGTTGCACAAACACCGCGTGGAGGCCGCCATCAACATAAGGGACCGAGACAGAGAGAGAGAGAGAGAGAGAGCATAATCAGCTCCATCCACTATGGAGCCCTTCAATGCACTCTTTTTCTCTCTCCCAGAATTCTCGCTCTCCCTCTCTGTCCGTCTGGCGGTCTGTCTGTCTCTCCCGCTGCTTAGAATTCTGTCCGCTGGGGAATGACACGGGATGGAATGGGACAGAGTGGTCAGGGTGTATGTCTGCTGTGGTGTCGTTCTTTTTCTGCATGTTCTCTGCTCCCGTTGCTGGCATTCGTTCCTGCTCGCCTGTTCAGACACACCATCGAAATTTCACATGTAATTCCCACGGCCTGAATTTTCCCACACAGTCGACGAAAGAAGCAGCGGAGGAGGAGGAGGATGAAGAGAGGACAGGCCGAGGACAGACAGACACAGAGCACACAGCAGAGAAGAGATGAGATGAGCATAAACACATACCACAAGTTGTCCACAACACAGACACATTTCTGATACACTTTCAGAGTATATATTCAAATTATTGCAATGCATCTATGAACAAATCGGCATTAAAAGAAGATGCTATAAGTCGTCTGCCTGCATCATTTATATTTATAGCCATGTCTCAATTTCTGTTTGCTGAACTTTTCCTCCTGCGCATCACATACCGTACAAAATATAGGGACAAACGAATAAGTACGCACCTATTTACATATCACATGCTCGTCCCCAGCTAATTTCGTAAGAAGCTATGCACATACACAGCTAATTACATACAACCTATGCTCACTCTGCTTATTACATACACCAAGTAGTCACACAGCTAATTACATACAATCGTTTCACACTCAGCTTATTATTTACACCGATTTCCACCAGACTTTTTTAGTAAATAATTGTATTTACAGAAAGAAAGCCAGACTAGTATTATTCATCACACTGCAAGAGTATTTATAAATCGGCGCGTCCAAGTTATATTTTCTGCAAGTTTTTTTTTATTATTGCATTGAATTTGCTCCCAGGGTCGTTGTCGTTGGTACTCTTCCGTTCCTTCATCTCTTAGTTGTTGGTCGTTTTGCTTATGCTGCTGTTGTTTGCTGCTCTTTACGCTTCTTCTGGGCTTCAGTCTCAGTCTCAGTCCCAGCCCCAGACCCCTACCCTCGGGGGGACGACTGGTCCGGGTCCTGGTCGTGGTCCCTGCTTCTTGGACACATCCGCCGCCTGTGGGTTAACATCTTCTTCATTCGGTCGTCCGTCTGTTGGCTTCGCATTCCTTTGGCCAGGTCTGGCTTCATCTGCAACCTGGCCAACACTTGGCCTCTCCTTAGTAAGGTTTCTTCACGGGCACCGTGGATGGCATAAGGAAAAATTGATCAAATATGTATAGAGATGGTACGAGATGGTAGATTGAGCGTAAATCAAAATCTATATTGAATGAACTAGAAATAATTTTAGGGATTCTTCTACTATAATTAACTCTAATTTTCTGGCTTCTCGAGAGAAAGAGAATATGTATATTGCTTCCACCATAGTTGAGACTTACATACGTTATTCTGTGAGTTGTACGATCACATGTTTATTTGGAATTGTGTGATCTAATCCTAAGCTCCGTCAAATTTAGCAACATGAATTTTAAAATTTAGTTTTTCAAAAATGTTTGCTGGAGATTTGATTGAAGAAGAGCAGATGGATGCCACAGACATGAACTATGTGTGCCTCAAAGGTGGCAGCCACATGCACTGCAGAAAGTTTCCAACGGCCGACACCAGACTCGAGGCTATTCTCACGCCATATTCCAGCGGAGCAAAGAGCGTTCGCAGGTCAAAGAAACCAATCATTTTTGGAAAGAAGGGAAAGTACCTTCAACGCAAACTTTAAAATAATCTAAGATCTTACACTTTTAACGGGAACATCAAAAAAACTAAAGCCACATACATATACCAACATTTGAGTAAGCTCAATTGCAAGGCCTACTGTGCGGCCTTGAGGGAGCTGCAAGGAATGTCTAAGCAGAGGCCAGACTCAACTCGAGCCACTTCCTCCGCTGCGGTGCCTCCCTCATCCGCCTCTTCTAATGGTCGGTCCATGGCCCATCCGTTCCGTTCCGTTCCTCTGCTCTGCTCTGCTCTGCAGTGGTTCCCCTGCTCCCATTGCGGATAATGTGCCATTGACTTTGACTTGGCAGCAGTTATTCCAGTTATTTGAAACTCATGATGCAGCTCTGACTACTGCACTCCTGGTTCATCAATATGTTCAAGGATTTTTTCATGCTTCCAGGCGTCTCACTCACTGAACCCCATAAGGTCTTGCCATCTCGCACTCACTCAGAGAAGCCCATTGTATGTGAGAGAGATGCAGATAGAGAGAGAGGTAGAGCTAATGCCAGAGAGAGGTCATGACGAGTTGAATTTTTGGCAGTTCCGCTTGGCTCTGTCTGAGTTGCTGCTATCCTGTCGCCTGAACTCAACGAAGGTAACAAAAAATGCACTCGAACGGGGTCAAGTGGAGTCTGTGGATTGCCACCACTCACCACCTCACTCAATTGTCTAAATGGTGCTCCACTCAAAGCAAACAAACCCACTCTATGAATAGGCTGGAAATGAGGGATATCAGTAAGAAGCTCAAAAGCTCATACATATGTATGTAGTGTGTATCTACAGGTCGCAATTTAATAGCTCAAAAATATGATATGCATGCTCATTGGTAATGCACTGTTCGAAATTGCTCACCTACCCTCATACCCAACGCAATAATAATGTCTATGTAAATTACATGTAAATATACCTTTCGCTACATCAAGTATTTATTTGATTGTTTTTTTTTTTTTAGATTGCCAAGTAATATCAAATTTCCTTCAGTGCAAAGAGTGTGGAGGCAAAGCTCTTTCGAAACAAACTTTTCCCTCTCCCTCACACACACACCGGCAGCGCCACCACCACCAGCAATAGCAACAACGAAACAAATGAGCAAAGAGAGCGCCGACTCATACAAAACCAAAAACAAACACACACACACATGCACGATGAAATGAAATTCACACTCAGGCGAAACGGAACGCAACGAAACGAAAACGAAATCTCAAAGAGCGCCGCTCTGCTTTTGCTGCGAGCCTGTTATTTAGAGTCCATGAATCGAAATTGTGTAGCTCAAGTGAGTTTTCTGATTGGCGATTCTCCAATTGGGTTTTCGGTGAACAGTTGAATTCGAAACCGAGATGAGTGTTGGCTAACTCGAGTATTGTACTCATTCAAAGTCGCAAATATAACGTATGCTAAAATATAAAACAGACAACGTGAATACAAGTACTCAAAACAGTGAGTGCAAATGCAGTCAACTAATGCTAATACTGTAACAACTAAATATAAAGCAAAATGTATGTTCACTTGGAAGAGAAAACCATTCTATTAATTGGGAGAATGGAAACGCTCCATCCGAGTGGGTCTGAGCGCTGACTGCGCAGTTCAGCAGCAGCCTCCACGGTACGAATGGGTCAAAAGTAGAGGTGGCCCGAAGGTTGTTGCAGCCAGCAGCCGTCTCCCTCGCCAGCTGTTGGGTGTACAGGTAATAGTGGGCCGAAAAGCTCTTGCGGGGGTGATCAGATGGATACAGAGACCTCGCTATATTCATAATTAAGAGACACATAACACACAAATTACCTTTTTCGGAAGCAAATAATAAAATAATATTTTGCAGATTTAAAAAAATATAATAGTGCAATGCAATAAGGCAATGGCCTAGATCATTTTATGTATTGGACGCTGTTGTTCACGAGCTCACAGTGGTAGCCGGCGCCGGGGTGGGCGTCGTTTCGGACAGCCTTCCGCGACATGTAGTTATCGAAGGAGCGCCACAAGTACCCCAGGCAGTAAAAGAGAAAGCAAATCAAAATCGTGAAGCAGTAAGCGACGCAGCCCCACAATCGGCTCCCCTGATAGGTGTCCTTGTACGGTCTGCAGTTCCTGTTGATCTGCTGTTGATAGCAGCGTAGC